ATGACTTATGCCGGCCAGCTGGTTTTAATAGAGCAGACCGGCTTGTGGTGCATAAGAGGAGCATTATTTCAGTGCACCGGGCCAATTGCAGGGTGTACTGGGTGTTATCAACATAGAAGGTGAAAACAGGAGAGGCCACCAGCCAGCCTAATGCATTCTGAGGTTTCATTTGGTTTATTTTCCTAACAATGAAATAAATGGTTTGGTAATTAAATATTCGCCACTGGCTTTAGACCCTAATGGGAAACTGTGACAAGTGTTAATGTATGGTGAAGAGGATGAAGGGTTTGACACGAAACACGCCGTCTTCGTTTCACACTTTTACACTTTTCTCTATCGTCTTCTAAACCTGCAAGCAATTTCGACATGTAAGGCCAATCAAACTCCTCCGCCAGGACACAGTTTGCATAAATCTGCTAACCTAATGCACCGAGCTCACTCAGTTGCACTGTGATACTTTTCTCCAGCCATCTTTTTTTTCTCTCTCTCTCCGTCTTTCTCCTCCCTGAGACAAGAATTCTTGAAGTGAGCCGTTGTTTGAAAGCGTTTTGTGGTCTCTGGCAGCAGCAGCTGATGGAAATTTGCTGAGTTGGAGCCCTGAAATGTTGCAGCTGTCTCAGAAGAGCTCGGCCACAGCTCTGAGTCAAACGAAGGAAAAGCATTGATTGACTTCCTCCCACCCTCTCTTGATTATTCTCTTTCTTGGTATTCCTTTTACGCCCTATCCCACTTCATCATAACACTTTCCGTGTCTTTTTAACGTTTTCACGTTTCCAGACCCCCAGTCTAGTCCAGCTTGTAAACCAAGTAAAGCTATTACCTCATCCGTGGGTCCAAAAATGATGAAGATTCCTTCCGCCCCCTCGTATGGTGGAAATCGAATAAGGTTGCATTACTTTACCCCATGTTAACAGGACCTTCTGAGCCACAGGAGGAAATGGAGAGCCATTTCTTGACCATAACTCACCCAGAGAGATTTAGAGTTTCGGGGGAGATGCTCCAAAATAGTGTGAACTCATTTTTCTATGCGTGTTGAGCTCCACTAAGAGGAAAGCAGCCGCTTGTCGTCTGGAGAGATTGAGTAATGCAATCCTTCACAGCCCAGCAGCACCACTGCCACATACCTCACTAATAGCAGGTTGATTATCAACAAGACTGTCCTTTAACACATTCCCGACATCTGCTTTCTGTCTAAGCGTGGAGGGTGGATACACATAGACGTTGCAGAACACTCGCACACACCACTTTCATTGTAAGTGTATTGAAAAAAACACCTTCTGGTATAGAAATTATATATACGCACATTTAATGCATGGTTGTAAAATTGTTCACACATTTACACTCAAACACTTTCATGTGCTTAAATTTAAGTATTTAGACTGTCAAATACTGCTTCTGCTGTAAAAGATGATCATACACACTCTATTTCATCCATCTATTGTATACACCCTCTCAGTGATATCCTGTAGACATTGTTTGACACCATTTTGATTGAGAGAGTTTTGAAGATAACGTGCCATATCCTCTCACTGATGAGCTCTGAGTTTTGTTAGTTATATGGGTAGAATTTATAAACTGTCCTGGAAGACCCTTTGGTTTATGAGCAGTTAGTGCAATTGGTGGGATTGAAGTCTGTGTGTGTGTCTTTGTGTTTTATTGATTTTTTTTGGTCCAATGTCTCGGTGTAGGACTGCATCCTGCGTAACATAAATTCACTCAGGCTAAAACGTATATAATAGTTTATGAACACCCACACAAATATTTTTTTCATTTTTAAATCATTATGTAGACTTTCCTTAGATACAATGGTTGTATACTGTGCGAACTGTATATTCAAGTCATGTACTGTATATTTATATAGCCTTTTTCACAATATAGATTGCATCAAAGCAGCTTCACAGTATCAATCAAAACATAATAATAATGTTCGTTTCTTAGTGGAAAAAGATTCACGTTTGGTAGAGCTGATCAATGGTATTAATGATTGGTTAATTAATTTGAATATCCCCAAATGAGCAAGCCAAAGGCAACAGTGGCAAGGAACCGAGTGACCTAATGGTGTCCTAAAACTCCATCAGGTGACCCAATGAAGAAATGGGAGAACCCGGGCTCAGTCGGGGGCCAGTTCTCCTCTGGGGTTTATGAACTAGAGGCTGGATTTACAGTAATTGTAAGGTAAAAATGTATATGAATGTCTCTAAACAGACTTAAACGCGAACCTGTGATAAATTCTGATTGCGTTCACATGCGCATTTGAATATATGTGCGGAGGTTTGTAAATCCCTACAAAACCATGTCTGAACAAACTACTTGTCTATAAATTTGATAAAGAATTTTGTTTTATTTTATCACTTTGGGGTAGGAACGCGAAACGAATTCACAACGCTTTTATCTGTAGAGTGGGAAAGGGATCCTCCATAGGGAGAGGCTAGTTGGCACTTCAGCACTGCATTGTCATCGGGTCCAGGCTAAGATCCTCGTCAGATCTGGATACGGCCTTGATCCGACAGGCTGCGGGAAAACCTCGGGATAAACAAAGACACTAAAATTAGCGTAGAGGCCATTCTTCTTATAATGTAACAAGTACATCAGGATTTAAGGGAAGTGTTCCCAGTTCTAAGTTCCCAAATCTATGCAGTCTAACATTGAGTTTTAGAAGTCTATAATGTATTATGTGTATGCATGGGCAAAGAAATGTGTCTTTAATCACACTTTGAAATGACAGAGTGTGTCTGTCTTTTGGTGCTAAAAGAATCTACCTCCAGCAGTCGATTTTGGGATTATTAACTGGCCGGAATTTTGAGATCGCAAATAGACGTGAAGGACTAAAATGCGATTAAGTACTGCGGAGCTGAACCATTTAGTGCTTTGTAAGTAATGAACAATATTTTAAAATGTATACAATGTTTAATAGGCAGCCAATGCAGTGTTGACAGAACCGGGCTAATATGGTCATACTTCCTAGTTCTGGTAAGAACTCAAGCTGCTGCGTTTTGTACTAGCTGTAGTTTGTTTATTAAGCGTGCAGGGCAACCACCCAGAAGAGCATTGCAATAATCTAGTCTTGATGTCATGAATGCATGAATTGTTCCACATTTTTCAATGAGAGCATATGATGTAATTTAGAGATATTTTTTAAGATGGAAAAATGCGGTTTTACAGATGCTAGACACCTGACTTTCTAATGAAAGAAAGTCACTCGTTTAGTATCTGTAAAACTGTCATATGCTCTCATTGACAAATTTGGAACACTTAGTTATATTCTATCCCCTAACCCTACGCATCACAGAAATTTTTCTGCATTTTTACATTTTCAAAAAAAAAAAAAAAAAAAAAGAGAAAACATCAGTTAGTATTATTTTCCTCATGGGGCATGACCAAATGGCTCCAAAATGTCAAAACATTTCAGGTTTTAATGTTTTTATGGGGACATTTGGTCCTCACAAGCACAGGTGCACACACACACACACACACACAGATTTGTATCACTAAATTAGTGAGGGCATTGTATACAGTACGTCAATTGATTTTATATCTAGTTAATGATTTTTTTTTTTTCCTGATATATCGTGTAACCCAACCCCTACCTATCAGAAACATGCAAAACACTAGATTTAATTAAAAACAAGTTTTGGGCGATTTTTTGCCTTTTATGTATTCACTAGTCGGTTACCATAATATTTCACTGTAATTTGGGACATTTGACCCTCACAATAGCTTAATCTGTATTTTGTATTTTGGATTTGTTTGTATCTAATACACATCAACAATGATATCAAACTATTCTTGCACTTTACCCTGCAGAAGTTCTATGTAGACTCTCCCCCCCCCCCCCTTACCCATCATAATTTTGTCTAATGCAATAAGTGAGCCAAAACTGCCATCGATGTTCCATGCAACAAACAAAAACAAATAATGCAAGACGCCCCTGGTCTCATGGTATTATTGACAGTACAATATTAACATGTATAACATTAGTGCAGCAGAGCATCTCTCAGTTTTGTTTTAATGATGGCTTACTGATTTACTGGTTCCCCACAAACCCACATCTGTTTGATTGACACATGCCTCCCTGGTTGTTGGGACATGTTGCTGATTGAGGCATGGCATGCGATTTCCCACTGAACCCCATCCCTGATTTTCACTCATTACAAAGCCCTCTGAAAGTCCACGGTGTCTCCTCTCAGAACTGATTTCTCCAGCTTCTCGGTTTTCCTCTCGTATGGCTCCCGCGGCCGAGGCCAGTTGCTTGGGCAGGCAACAAATGGAATCAATTTATACCCCTGGAGCAAGGTGGTTTTGATGACATTTAAAATGTTCACAACGTAAACTCTGGATATAAACATTTCAGGTCAGGAAGAGTTTAGAAATGTCTTTCATAAACATACACAAGGAAGATTTTTGACTTGTTTTTGATAGATGGCCAGTCGCATGTTCAAAATTTAATTCAATTTGTCAACCTATGTCCTGACAGAGAGAAAGAGAGAGAGGAAAGGTATGGAATATGCAGGAATAAATCGGGGCTTAGATCTGAGAAGAAGTGAATTTAGAAAATTAAAGCAGATTGGGATATCTGCCTTTAGAGAAACTCAAATACACATTAAATAATTGAATCATCAAGTCAAAGTGAACATATACACATATGCTCAAATAGAGGTTGAAAAATACAGATCTTACAGTATAAATGAGTAGAATTGTTCAGTAAACACAGAGGAGTGATATAAGCAATGAATCTTATTTAGCAATGTAGCCTACTGCGATTTTGGCAATTTAAAACAATCCATTGATTATTTTAATTTAATGCAAATTAAATAACTTTTATGTTAAATATATTTTATTATTAAATAAAATGTAAATGTTTAAATCTAAACTTAGTCTTAAATAATGCAAGCTACTTTGTAATAAGTGGATATCATAAACTCAGAATATAGTACATTAGTTGCTGATGTCAATAGGTGTGTGTGTGTGTGTGTGTGTAACAGCTTATAAATCAAACTGTGGTGGTTTTTGAAAATGTAAAAATGCAGTAAGTTTTCTCTGATGGTTAGGTTTAAGGATAGAATATACAGTTTATACAGAATGGGCATACAAATCATTATGTCAGTGGAACACAACTCTCTCTCTCTCTGTCTCTCTCTGTCTCTCTCTGTCTCTCTGTGTGTGTGTGTGTGTACACAAAACATAACTCCCAAAACATAATTTTAGGGATAAAAATGTCATAGGTATAACGTAAATGCACAGTTTTTATTTACATTGTAAAAATGCAGAAAGTTTTCTGTTAGGGTGTATACAGCTAGGGAATAGAATACTGTATACAGTTTGTACAGTATAAAAGACCATTGTCTATGGAAAGTCCCCATAAAACATGGAAACCCAAATGTGTGTGTGTGTAAAAGCAGCATATTGTGTCATTTTTATTCTGTTGCAATTCTCCACTGGTTGCTTATATTCTTATACATACAAATAAACCATATTTTATAAATATCTTATCAACTATCTTACATATTTTTTACTGTAACAGATCATATTGGTGATGCATTGGAATTGAATTACAACTGGGCTCAATTTCCCAGCCTTGTGGTTTTAGCGTTAGTGTTAAAGGACAAGGTTAGTGTTAAAACCCTACACTGTAAAAGTCTCTTTCTGCAGCTTGACCATCTTAATTGATCCTCCATTAGTGCTTTATAGACACTGTGTCCTTCGTCCTGTGCCTCTTTTATAGATACTAATAAAATGTTCAAAGTCCCTGTGCAGCTCCTTATCATGCAGCAGTGTTTTTATGCCCTGCTTACACCGGGAGTGTGACTCTGTCTCTCTACTGTACAGTCTGATGATGAGGGTACGGTTTCACGGCCCCTGCCTTCATGTCGCAGCCTGGCACCATTTTATGACTGGAAAAAGAGAAAGAGGAAAAGAGAGAGGCATTAAAAAAAGAGATATATAAAGACAGGATGGGGTGGGGGGATGCAGAGAAAAATAAGCACACTTTATTTTCTAATTTGTACTATGTTTATGCTAAATGATTTAATTAAACACAGACATTTCACAAAAGCATTTAGCGTTTTCCCAACGTTATATAAGTAAAGCCTATTTCAAATGGCTGACTCTGGTTCCTTTGCCGTGCACTGGGGGAAATAGTGATTATAATGACAGGCCTCTGATTTCAGTCTGTGTGCATTGAGTTACTTGTTATTGGTTTAAATCATATATTTCCATATAGTTGGAAAAAAAAAACAGTTTTTTTTTTTCACAGGAATGTGAAATATGGTGGAATTAATAATGATATGATGTGATGCATTCCTCTATGTACACGACTGTAAATGCTAAAAGCGGGCCTTATATGTATTAACAAGTGTAGTATCTCCAGGGCTGCTAAATGATGTAGTTTTGTGGCTCAGTTATGACAGATATTCATCATATCACATTTATTTATTTATATATTTTCAATGCGCAGCTGCCATGTTTTTGCAGATGCTGAGACTTGTTTTTTTTATAGTAGGTCAGTCACTGAAGTATTTGAACTGACTTTTAGATTTTTAAGTTTTCACAATGACAAATGCACTTTAGATCACTGAAAGTTATGTATTTGTTTTATTTTATTATTATTGTTCATTTATTTATTCATTGTGAGAATGCTTAGCAGTGGCTAGTTGCATATACTGCTTGATTTGACTGGTTTTACTCGAGTCATCTACTATTTTTCTTCAAGACTGGTCATACATTTTAAAACTCAATAACATAAAAAGGCAGACTGGTCTAATTTGAATTTGAAAAGTTAGACTTATTATACTTAACCAACTGCTAATTGGTCTGACTAGTTCTGATGTCACAGTCTTAACATAGTATGTTTATGCAACTAGCCCCAGAACAGCAAAAAAAAAATGTTTTCAAAAGTTACAATATCTATTTTGTTTAGAAATAATTAGGTTTACATAATATATGTAGGTGCACTGTGTATAATTATTTTATATATATAAATACACACATGTTTTTATATATTTAAGAAATATTTTCATGTATATACTGTATATAGATTTATATTTAATTTAAATATAAATATTTTATATATAAATAATATTTTTTCTTAAATATACATGCATGTTTATATTTATATATATACAAAATAATATACACAGTGCACCCACATATATTAAATAAACACAAACTTTTATTTTGGATGCAATTAATCGCGATTAATCGTTTGACAGCCCTAGAAATAATATTTCTACAGTGTTCATGGGGGAAAGAAAGGATGACAAAGTGTGTTTGCATGCAACTGTGTAAGTGTAAATATGCATTGAGTGGAATATTTTGAATTTCTAATCTCCTTATATTAACTCGAATTTTTAAATTCAATGAATTCAAAATTTTAAGACAACCACTTTAAGTTAAACCAACAATATTTTTTTTAAAGTGTGGTTTTCTGATTTGGTCCACAATCCAGCAGCGGCAGCCCTGTAGCACATATAGTACCAGAATATATTATCTCGACGTAGTTTTGCTTTCCAAGAAGAGATGCAAGAACAACTAAACCTAAGTGAATAATATGCTGAAACACCTTAAGCCCCTTTCAAACTAAATTACAAAATCAAAGTAGCACTTACAAATAATTATGCTTGTGTTTTTGAATCAGGGTACGAAGGAAAACAACAATTAACAGTGAAAGTTCCCTCATTCACTAACTTTGTCGACTCGCTCTGATAGGAGAGGAAGTATCTGTTTACTTTGTGATTACGACAATTTTGCTGTCGCGAGGCAGCAAATTCAAACCAGTCGCGAGGCTAGATTACTCCAGACATGAAGCCCGTACGGCCGCGCACATCCAGTCCTCCGCCATCGGCTGCGATTTCTTCAAAGTAAAATAAACCTTTATACATAATTAGAGAGAATTCTGTATATTTTTCTGTCCATTCCCCTCTAACAAAAAGGGTATATTTTAAGGGCCAAGCATGTCACGCTTAACCACCGGCCTACAAAGTAGATCACACATCGGAGGACCTGACCCGAGTCTCTTGTTTATTCAGAGCAAATTCTAGAGAGAGGGTAAAAGGAGCCTTATTCAGTGCACATTCCAAATCACATGGACTGTCATATTTAGACAGTTCATATATCCCCGCTTCAGAGTTGCCATGTCGTGAAAACATTATCAAAGTAAATATTATGACTGTAGACAGGTTCTTTTATGCAAAGAGCGCTAGTGTGAAGTTGGGTCCAATCTTGGGGCGTTGGGCCGGAGAAGGTGAGACGGCTGAGGTTGCTTAAAAGCATAACTGGGTTATCAGCCAGGTCTTGATTGCGTTATTATTCTGTGCTACTGTTTTTCTTATCTGGCAGTCAACATTTTATGTCAGGAAACAAGCTGGAGAGACGCGTTTGGCTGTGTGCCGTGTAGAGCTCTAAGCATGCATCTCCGAAACCCCACACGTGTGCGTGTACGGTGAGATCTGGACAGTGTCCCCGTGACCAGAGACGGATGTGAACAATTACCAATTCTCAAAACACTACTTTACCGTAGTTAAATATATTACACGCCTTACACCCGCGGCTGCGGCCCCACTCTCGCTGCAGCCTGGGATACGTGGACCTTACAGAAATCCAGCCACCTTCAACAGGCACAGTCTACTGCAATTAACCAATCATCATAATCATCATCATCATTACCACCATCATCATAATCATAAACTCACTGAATGTGCTTTTCACAAGGTGCTTCACACTAATTTGCACAAGCCAATGTTTTGTTTTATTTTCACTTCTCTTATTGGGACAGAATTTTTATATATGAAAATATCCAAACACGTTTTGGTTTTACAGATATACAGTAAAAGATTTAGAGCAAAATGGGGAGTGTCATAGAATATATATCTTGCTTATAGTTTGATTTGACCTAATGGATGTTCAATTATTACCTCATCCTTTAAAAAAACTAGAAATACTGTGGCTGAGAAGATGAAGAGGCTTTATAACATTACATTATGTAAATTTACAGAACACACTGAGATTGCACAAAATCTGTTTGTGCATAAACTTGACAGAGCTGTGAGAGAGAATGATACACATACACACACATTGGCTGTTATGTAGGCCTATATTTTATAGTTGCTAGCCTGATTATGTATTTGCATGTATTTGATTATTTCAGTTTCGCTTATTTTGGATAGTTGAACCAAAAATTCAGTTTGTATCATTTACTCACCCTCACGTTGTTCCAAACCTGTATGACACCCTTTATACCATATGGAAAACAAAATAAGATATTTTGAAGAACGATTCAGCTGTTTTTTTGTTGTTGTTGTTGTTGTTGTTTTTTCATGAAAGTCCACAATAAAAAATCCACAATATTTTCTATTTTTCGCAACTGCATCTGTGTGTGGTATGCCCCAGCAAATAAAACCTCTGCAATGAGTTCGCATGTAATAAATACCAACACAATTCATGTGGGTGTCCAACTGTAATCCCAACAGACTGATCCACTGCGTATTCAATATGGGGAGTAATTGGCCCTCAATGCGAGGCGCAGCGCAGCACACAGGCCTGACTGACACTCGGTGCTGTAGCACAGGAAAAGGCGGAACTAGCTTATTTTGATCCTGGATTTAAGTGATGAAACTAATCCTGATTGCCACAAATCAGAACCTGGACTTTAGCCTAATTAGTGAACGCGGATATGGCTCCATGCATCAGAGACAAGTTAAACAAACAATTATAGCATATCTATACTACAGATCCGCTTCTCGGAAGCTCAAGTTAAACCGTCGGTCGTCTGACGCACGCGCATTAATAAAGCTAATTTACTGAAGCTGTCAGACGTAATAAGAAACGAAACGCAGCAGTGTTTATTGCGAATTTTTAGTGATGAAAATAGGCGCATTTGGGAATAGAATGCACATTTTAAAGGACAAACAAACAAACACTGAAAATGAATGGTTTTAATCTGTTAAATGCTCTGGGAAAACAAAAAATGGTAAATAGCTAATTGTTTAATAATAGGCCTAATAATTAAATAACTATAATTTAAAATAATAGCTAATTGTAATGTCTATATATTTATAAGGCTATTCTACTTTTGGCCTAAAAGGCTATAGCCTATTGTTGTTGTTGTAATTATTATTGCATTTTTGTTTACGTAGTTTGAACGAAATTTTAGAAACATGATTTATCATATCTCTCAGATTTAAATGTGGGCATTTTAAATGGTCGTTTCTGATTTATGCACAGTCAACGGGATTGCGGGTGCGGGTTTCCACTCAATCACTAGTCGAAGCTCCTCCGACAGCACGCTCAACTGAGGGCATAATGTGTCCACTTGGGCTAAAAGCCGGTGTACGGTTGCATCGCAGTAGCATCTGCCCCTAATAGATATTGCAGAGACTGAACACAAATGGGCTTCGTATGCTATCACTTCACACCGCTCACAGGTAGAGTCTGTCTGTATAAATGCTTTATCTTAAGTTATCTCTAAATGGCCCGCTTTAACCGGCCTGATGAAAACAATCACTGAGAGTAATGTGTTTAGCTTTAGCTTATTTTACAATTTAACATCCGCTTATACCGAAATAAGGATCCACGCTAGCCTAAACACTGCACGTGTTGTTCACGATTCTTCAAAGATAAACTAGGCGAAGTCGATGTAGCAAATATAATAAATCCACTTTAGTTGTGGATCGGTTGTTAATATCTAAACCTGCTAAACTCACTCATTCACTCAGACGCTTTCCAGCTTTAATGATTGTTGTCAAATCATTTGATTAATGACTCCACAACTGCAGCATTAGCTAGAACATATATCATTATTATTATTTTCATGACCAAACATACTATGACACAGAGACATTTGCTTATAATATAATATAATATAATATAATAATATGCCTGATTGTTTAAAATAAATTTAATCAAAACCAGCAAAAATATTTAATTTGGCTGCATTGAAAAGATTGAAATAGCACAATTATTAAGTTTGAGGGGTGTGTATGTGTGTGTGCAAAAGTTTGATTTAATTAATCATCCTCAAATCACTAAACCTCTAAATTATAGTAATTCAGGAGGAGATAATTAGTCATGCATTAAGTCCTTTGCTGAGACCAATATAATCTGGTTTTATTACTGTGGTACAGAGTTACAAATAATTCTCATTTGAATATTATGCAAATTCCCAGCAGCCATCACACACATCCTCAGGGGTAGCTTTGAGAAATAATTAAAACGAATGAATACATATAAACACTCATCGCATACAATAAATTTAAACAATATTATCAAAAACACAATTCATGATGATAATTTGCATTGCTGCAGGCAGCAATGGTTTGTTTGTGAGCAGGTGCATATATAGAGGGGGAGTGTTAGTGTGAGTGTGTGTGTGTGAGAGATGCTTGTGGTATCCATGGTCATGTACAGCATGAAGGTTACTGTCTCTCTTGTGTCAGTGTGCAGGTTACTGTTTCTGTGGTCACATTGGCCACTAGGTTTGGCCTATATCCTCTATAAGTGTGTGTGTGCACATGTGGCTTGGTAAATCCTATATTATAGGGACAAAATGTGTGCACAAATATGGCAACATCCGAAATCCTCGTCCTTGAGGGGACATTTTTTGGTCCTTGTGAGGAAAACAGCTTATGAATCATATAGGCTAAAGTGATGTTTTTTAAAATGTCAAATGGGTATGGGTCTGTGAATAGTAGGGTTAGTCTAAGGGCATAGAATACAGTTTGTACAGTATACAATCATTGTCTATGGAAAGTCCCCATAAAACATGAAAACGCAATGTGTGTGTGAGTGCAGACTTTGGCTCAGTCTTATTCTGATATATTACCATTTGATCCTTCAGTTTCCTGCCATTGATCAAGCCCCACCTATTCAGCTGATGGGCCAGAGGAGAAACCCGATCACCTAACAAGAAAGAAGCAGAGGAGAGAGGAAGGAGAAAATGAGAGAAATGGTACAAGCCTTCACCACAGCCTCTTTTCCCTTCTTACCTAAATAACATCCCACTCTGTGCATCTCAGTTTTTCTGTACCTACTTTACATTTACACATAATTCATCAGCGGCAGCTTGTCACCATAAGCTGCCTGTGATTCACATTCAGAAATGCTACCAGGCGACTAACAATATTATTCTTATTTAGCATCTTCCCAAACTGCACAAAGTGTTGCAGTGATCACACGGTCTTGTATATATGTCGCTAAACCACAGACAGGCATTGCAGTATCATATTAACTCGATGATTATTAGCTGACAGATCTGTCATTAAGGCAAATATCAGGAGAGTGGCAATTATAGTCAGTGGATTCCTTTTACACTGACATACATCATCCTCATCTTCTCTTTTACACATACACACACACACACACTGAGAGACTGAGTGACAGTAGATCAACTAGCCTGGCCCCGTGGAGGTCATAACCCACACCATCTGGATCTGATCGAGCTGTGCACAGAAAGGTGCTGCGTTTGCAAGGTATAGCCCCTTTAGCAGTGGGAACCTGCTACGCTGTTCCTCTCATATTCGACTGTCGAAGCTGGGCATCTGTATGCATATTCATATTTGGTACTGCTGAAAGACGAGTGTAATGTTTGGAACTACCAGTGTATGGAAAATTCAGATGCTGGCAGGTTTAATGTGATGATTTAGCCATCCAATGTAAATGTACAAAACATTATATTCTCCCATGTGAGGGCGTAAGAAAACAATGACGGACTTAAAGGTCTTTTTTGTGTAAAAGAAAACGTTAACGTGTGTCTGCCGGGAAGCTGTTCAAGTCTGTGCTTGGCCTGAGAGAGCTCAAGTCATTCACTCCAGCGGTGTATCTGTCGATTACTGTCCTTATCGGCTTACAAACGGGGAAGGTGAGCGAGTGACAAACCTCTCTTTGAGGTTTTAGGTTACACAATATGGTAACAACAAACTGTCACTGGGCTTTAGAGGCCTCGTCGAGGAACCTGGGGAAATTCCGCCCTGGGTCAATGCACATAGTGTCTGATTCCAGGAGTTTGGGGTGAGATTATCTCTTTGCAATGAACTTAAACTTCAACATTTACACTAGTTGACCAATATCCACTGTGTTGGATTGAGCTAAAGACTTTTCTTCCCTCTTGTTGACTGGATTTGTTTTTCTTGAGGAGCACTGAAGTAAATCTGTGGCACTTTAAATGCTGACGGATACGTCTCGCACCCGATGATATATAAAGTTGGGTCTCAGTAGCCCATGTCCTTCTGTGGAGTCTTGTGGTGCCCTTGTCACAACGGCACTGACAAATGATCGGGCTCAAATAACGGCACACTGCCGCTGTGTCAGTTCCACAGAGATTATGTAAATAATATTTTGATGAAACTAAATTAACCGTGTAAACGTTTCTCTGAAGAATCACAGCAGACCAACACTCTATTCTACCTGTGACTGATGTTGCATTTCACATTGCTTTCACTTTGTATAGAACTTCTGAATTACTTAGCCTGAGAGTAAGTAAAAAGCATCAGGATCACGGGACATAATGCATGTAGATGGGAAAACTGCGCCAATTTGAATCTTAAAAAATTAACTGGTCATTAAATAGTGTAGTTTTGCCAATGTAGTTTCACCAAAGTAGATAGCTATTTCTAAGATAAATATTTGTACTGTACTATAATATGCTGATATTTATGCTTTTTGTAGCATTTTTGTACAATTACATCCTAATTAAATCTTAAAGACTTTATATAGTCCACACTAAAATAAAAAAATCATTTTGTCTCATTTACAACACAAACTGTTCCAAATCTGTTTAACTTTATTTCTGCCGAACACATAAAAAGATATAAAGAATGCTGAGCGAACAAATAAAATTGGATCCCATTGACTTCCATTGTATGAAAAAACACTGAGACTATATATATATAATTTTATGTTTCATACAGAAAGAAAGTAATACAGTTTTGAACCAACAGCAGGGAGAATAAATGACTTGTTTGTCGTATTCACAAATCATATTAAACTACAGTATGATAAAGTCAGATATGGGTGCTTAATTATATTTTGTTTAGCAAAGCAACCTCCAATTGTGCAGTATTGCTGTCATATCAGATTATTTCTTATTTTTTAAAGACATAAGATATCATTTTGCTAGAATGTTTTTGGTATTTAAAGGTCAAAATATGAATTCTTGGAAAAAATAAAGCATTTAACATGTGGCAGAAATTGAACCTAACAAAAATCAATCTATAAAGTATATAAACTTTTATGTTTGCTAAATTTATTCACTAGTGATTCCTGCCGAGCAATGTCGATTTATCAAGATATTAAGGCTCTACTAATTTTTATTACCATCTCAATTGTATTAAATTAGTTAAATTATTAATTAGTTTAAAACAAAACATTGCAGCAAACGATCTATCTGCAAAAGTCTGTTAATAACCTGTTTCTAATTGGTTAAAAAAATGTCACTGTTGACCAAAGATCACTCTAAAGAATCAATGGTTGCCATTGTTGGTGAGGAAAAGCTGAGAGCGCATGAAAGACATGGGAAGCAATAAAACCCCCCAAGGGCTCAGATTTCTTCCTCTTTATTCATATCTCCCTCTAAAGCAATTATCCATTTAGTTTGCTAATTTAGCTTTTCCTTTAAGTCTAGCATGAAGCAGGATTGAAATTAAGACCTCAAACAGAGAAAATACATCTTATCAGAATACATCAGCCTGCCACCACAACGATAAGTGATGGTTATTACTCCAAGGGTCATTTCGCTGTTTATGCTATTTCACAATATTGTTAAGCGGCTCGTATTTTACATGTGACAAAACACGAGTCTGTATCTTTTCAGCAGAATCTTAAAGTAAATAAACGGGGCCCTACCATAGCACTCCCCAACTGAGAGCCGCAAGATTGCCCCATCACTCTTTATTAGTTTTTCTACTTCACTCCTTGCTTTTATGCATTTTATTAAGAGCTGTAAAGCTAAGCGTCTTTTGTATAAAATATATACAAACTTCATTTTATTAGACCACAGGCCACAATTTCACTGTTTGACAAGAAAATAAGTTGAAGTGAAAAAAGTCACATTGCTCAGCTCCATCTAAAAGGCATTTAAAATGTCACTGCATCTGACCAAAGATATCTTTAACAGCATCGATGCATCAACAAAGGCCGGATAGTCGGGCTAATGTAAGACTAATGCAGAAAGCGGGAGCTTGTTTTTATTACCGCGCAGCCCAGTGTTTGTGCGATTTCTCGATTTTCTAAAGCCCACGTTGACAGGCCCACTCTTTGAGCCAAGCCCCAGCAGATGTCCAAACATCGGTTAATGTAACCAGCAGGACCTGTGCACCCAGTGCACAGAAGAAGAAAAAACATGGTGGCCAAAGCAGAATAACTCAAATGGAATAGCCAATAAGTTCACACATCCAGGAAACAGAGAGTTTAATGTAATGTTGTGGTTTAACAGTTATAAACAAAGCAGACATCTTCAGCCCAGCGTAACTCATTTATGTGACTTGCTTTGCAGGAAACGTTGTGATGAATCACTTGACCTCTGATCCATAGGCAGTGAGGGAAGCGTGTGTATGGGTTTCTGAGCCATTCAACCAAAGTAAGTGTATTTCAGTATGTAGAGTGTGAACAAACATTTTTCTTCTTGCATTTATGTATACACTCAAAATACCATTAAAAAGGTTCTGTTTATTTTTATTATTTATTTTTTTCTGTGTAAACTGATACTTTTTTTGATTGATCTAATGGGTTAGTTCTATCATTCTAAAAAAAAAAAAAATCTATCATTTACTCACCCTCATGTCGTTCCATATCCGCAAGACCATTTATCTTCGGAACACAAATGAAGATCTTTTTAAGGAAATTAGCCAGAGCTTTTTGTCCCTCCATAGAGATCCAACGCCCCAGAAGAGTAAGAACAGTTCAGCCCCAGAACAGTAAGAATTACATCGTTAAAGTATTCCATGTGACTCCAGAGGTTTAACCTCAAATTTATGAAGCGGCGCGAGTGTTTTATTTGCGCAAAAAACATAATTTACCACTTTATTTCGGAAAATATTGATCTGCAACGAGCATTCACGTGTTTAGACTCGCGTGAATCAACGCGCATCAACATACACAAGTTATCACGAGAGCACCACAATACATGCGTTTTGTGTTTACGCAAGAGCTGAAATTATTGTGAACCCGTTGGATAATACTATTTTGCAAATTAAGTGTTACATTTTGGCGTTGCTTCATAAAATTGAGGTTAAACCACTGGAGTCACATGGAATAATTTAACAATGTATTTTCTACCGTTCTGGGCCTTGAATGTGTAAGTTGCGTTGGATATGGAGAGACAGAAACCTCTCAGATTTCATTAAAAATATCTTCATTTGTGCTTTGAAGGTGAACAAAGGTCTTACTAATCTGGAATGACATAAGGGTGAGTGATGACAGAATTTTCAGTTATGGGTTAACATTTGCTGAATCATAAATGTTACTGACCCCAAATGGTAGTGTGCGTGAGTGTACTTCTATCTGAGATACTTTAAATGATTTATAATGTGCCTTAGGCTTTATTTTAAGCTTTTTGTAGTTTGTGTCATAATACAGCACAGACAAACTTAAACTTAGCTAAGGTCTGAATAATGAGAAGTTGTATTTTGTCTAATCGCTATACATTACATTTTTGTGTTCATGTTTTTAATGAAAATAAATAAATAAACAAGAAATCATTAGAGTGACCTTTCTTGGTGTTTGCTTTTGATCCTGTCTGCCTCCTAATGTAGAGTTTGAGGAAATGATCCGATAAAACAGGATCATTTGACTAAGAGCAAGACAGCTATGAGCAAATCAATATGATACTGTATACTTCAGTTCTTCAGCCTGTGTTCCTATCTGATGGACTAATAAATGTGATACTTTACTTATACTTGCATATCTAATCTATCTATCTCTATCTCTATCTAAAATTTGACGGTACGTTTTTACGTTTTATGTAGTCTAGTCCAGCAGGTCTAGTCATCCTATGATCAACAGTTTTAACATTTTGTTTATGAGAAACAGGAAATAATGATAAAGTTAAGACAAACAATCTCATTTTCAAACTCCCTTTGCAAGTTATCATCATCATAATCATCTTTTTTTGATGAAGTCCTAGTCAGACTTAATTATGGCATAAATATACGGATTGTTCCATACAGCAAAATTTTCCGTTGAGGAGGGAAACTGTATATCAAAACCAGAAATTTTCACTCTTCATTACCAATTTATGGTAATTGTCATATTGATGAAAGGACAGTTATGAAATCTGTGTTTGTAAATGTCAGGTTTTCATTTCAGAGCAGCCCATTGCACCGACTTTCATGTCATGGTTCTCTATTATTTGTTTTTCCACTGCCTGTTGGGTATCTCGGCACAGGACAGTGATGCTTTCGTTTGTTTGGGCCTCCACTGAGGATGAGAAGCTCGTCTGAATCAGTCATTGTTTGTTTAGTTGCTATCTACCCTCCATATTTGGTTTACATCTAAACTTGGCAACGTGAACCCTCTGCATCAAAATGATGGTTCACTTGAGCAAACCAAAAACAGATCTGAAACAAATTTATGTGAAGTTAGGTTTCAAACTTGCTCTCTTGAGACGCATGCACAAAAACATGTAATTGTAAAAGCCCCAGGCCAGTATGTTAACCAAAAATACTCTATCCTTACTTCAAAAATATCTGCACAGGTTATTTGCTATAGCATTGGCGAATAAAATAAACGCAGAGAGAACTGCAACTGTAATCTTGGCTGTAGGGACCCGAGGCCGTGCCGTTGTATCCCCAACAAGTCATCAGGATCAAGTTGCTATCCGCTGAGGAGGGGATTCAGAGAGGATTGAGTGTTAACCGTCATGGCTTCCCTATAAACATGCAATCAAGCTGACACAGAGCCTATTGTGTAAAGGAGCAGAGAAAGTATGGACAATAGGGAAATCTTGGATGGAGAGAGAGTTTGCAAGAAAGTGAGAGTCGAAAAAAGCCGATAGGAAGAAAGTGAGAGAGTGACCGGGACAGAAAGGGAAAGGGAAAGCGAGCTGTGTGTGGATGGATGGGCCTGCAGGCCGTAGGGACTGGTGTAACAGCCTCTCGCTCTCAGGTGTCCAGTCGATAACTGATGCATTAGTCTAGAGCTCTTTGCCGGTTTTGGGTTTAAACACACATTTTCTTAATACAACATGACCCCATTTCCCTCTCTCATTAATCATGAAACACAGTTAGACTGGACCATTCGGTCTCTGACAAAGGGTACTGTTCAACCCCTTTCACACTGCTCACATTGACTCTTATAAGCCTGTTGACTGATTCTTCTAATACACAGAAACTATGCATTCATTTATGTGCTGATTTGTGACCTCAATATACAAGTTTTCATATTTGTTTATATTTATATTTCCTGTTCAGGCCAAACCTGGACGTCCATGAAAGGATAACACACGATTTCCGGAGCAACTGGGTACAGCATCTCTTGAGGTACAGAAAAGTCTTAAAATACATCTGCCTCATACACAAATTCCTGTGGTTTGTAAAAGTTTTTAAAAGAAGTTTTGTCTACAGACATCCATAACACATGCACATAGCTATAAGACACAAGCGAGCGAGGATTTCAGGTCAGATTTTGTTATTAGCTCATGGATTCTAGTTGTTTGCTGTTTTCCAGCCACCCACACAAGCTTGTTCGGTCTCTTACCCAGCAGCCCTCAGTCCTTCGGTATAGTCACATGTGTCAGATGTTCCACTGTGACTAAACATTTCTGCTCCCATTGGCGTACACAGTTTGAATTCCTCAATTCATCTTATAAACTTGTTTATGAAAGTAAACACTGTGCCTTGCGGAGACAGGTCATGATCATTATCCATAATTTCAACAAAATGGTGCAGGCAGGACTTCAGAACAGAGAGTAAAGTGAATTCTGCTAATTCAAAAAGAAAAATACTGTTATTTTCCAGTATGTGTCAAGTTGTAGGTAAATATCTCAATGTTGCCAATGACAAAAATCTTGTTGTTCATTTGTATATATTTAAAAGAACAAAACCATAGAAAGAAAATTAACATATACTATACCATTTAAAAGTCTGGACACACCTGTGTGTGTGTGTGTGCATATATACACACACACACACACACACACACACACATATATATATATATAAAATTTATATATACTTATCTTTTAGTAATTCAATGATTTTAAATAAATTGCATTGTTATTAATATTATCCATTATTAATAATTTATGCAAAATAAATATTTTTAAGTATATCAGGTTACACCTCATAAAATTGAGTGTGCATTTTCAAGGCAAAGGTTGGTTTCTTTGCGGAGTTAAAATGTTTTGGTCATTGCATAATGCCTATACTTCCATATCTGTAGTTTGTGAATGAATAGTATTGAATAATAATGAATATGAATAGTATTAAATAGTATTTAATAGTATGAATAGTATTTTTTTAAATAATAGTAATAGCAAAGAATAAGTCTAAAAAAAACTTTTTTGGTAACTAATCAACTTTTTGTGTAAGTTTTTTTATGTATTGCACTTATATACTTTATTTTTAATATTTACATAATTTACATAAACTATATATTAAATAAATATATAGAAAACAATTTAGAAATATTCATCATTTTTTTTTATACATTTTTCAGTAATAGCTATTTGTAGTGCACTGTTGAGAGAGACATGTAAACACATCAGTCTAATGAGCTGTCATTATTCCCACAGTATAGACTGATGAGAGACTGTGACCAGTACATTCATCTTGTGTTCTCAAAGACTACAGAGCTGAACCTGGGTGAGGTCAATACTCTAATACTCTCAATGGGTTAAAGCTAAATGTGTGAGTGACTAGCGGCAGCTCTATAAAGGCTTGTGATATTGTGCAGGAAATAGAGGAAACTGGAGTCTGAGGGAGACTGGGAGACGGAGGCCACAGCAGAGCAAGGAGGAACAGGTCAGATTGGGTTTACTGGCCTGTCAGTCTGTCAGTGATACCCCCTCTGCATCAGTCTGTCAGCACTGCATACAGCACACACACACAGACATAGACACGGGACACGTGCGCAAAACTTAAAAACACTCTTTTCATAACAAATTTGTGGAGTGCTGCAAAATGACATTTTCCAGCTAGCCTAAATAAGATATATGATATAATATAAAACGGAGCTTGCTGATGATTAACACCCATTCGGAGTAGAGGCAAATACTGTGGATGTAAAACATGTTTTGGAAAGCTGTGTGTGTGTCATCATCAGTGGCAAAAACTTTGGAGAAATTCAATCCAAAACTGTGGCCGTATCGATGAGTGACAGGATGTTGCGGGAGAAGCAACACCATGTACACAGATACCTTTCGTGATACTGTGAATGTCTTCCAATATACACACTCATACACACACCCCCACAACACACTCTCAGAGATGGTATTTCAATACACAGACTGGGCAGTATGGAGCGCTTTCTGTCTGTGTGGTTTCCTGTGAAAGCTTAGCAGCTGATTTTACCATCGACCACAACAATAGGCCTGACACCAAATACTCCTAAACATGCACACACAAACACGCACATACAGAAAAGATGAGAGCAAGAGAGAGCTCAGTGGATGTGTGTTGTGTTACAAGGTCAATAAGATCAGAATGTTTATCTTGATGTGTAGCCGACATTAAATTGCTTATTAAGGCATAAAGTTAAATAGTTCATAATTGTCTGATAGTCTGCCCTCTGCCACCATATTCAATATCATGATTTGCAAAGTTCCATCAGTGTTTTCTTCTGTCTACTCAGGGACACGATCTGGCTGTGAACCTGATGGACAGATCAATTTAGACCTTGAGATTCTATCGATACCAATCCCCATGTAGCCTCTTACCCAGTTAAGGCCACTTTAGCACAAGAGGTCCCATCAAGTTAACATTGATTCCTTCATCAATCACCTTCTGGGTGGACGGACAATGGGCTATTTTAAAAGTTGCAAAGCCCACGTGTAATGTCGGATGGCCAGACATTGAGGTAACAGTGGCAGTATTTTAAGCATGGTGCTGTGTCAATAGTCGTAATGTTAGCTACATGCTACGTATGTGTACATGCACTTTAGATTTCTGTCAGACTAAAGCGATCAAAAGCACTTTAGTACAGTATTACAGATATTATGGGCGTAAGAGTACATGTATTCGTCCTGAACCGTCACGGTGAATGTCAATGTATTTATTATAATGGCGGATGACAGATGTTGTGTGAATGGCGATCTTTTAAATCAATTGCCTGATCGTTAGAACAGTGAACAACTAGCGTTACTGCCTAATTCATCATTCTCTCACAAGTTATGCTTTCACCCCACATCTTCACGGAAATCTCTGTTTTCTCTCTCTTCTGGAACTGGGACTATCCTTCTCGACCCCCATCCATTTCCCTTATGCAAACTGTACCACTGCTTCATTTCTCTTTTTCCCCTTGCTCTTTCTCTCTCTCTCACTCTCCCTCTCTGCGTCCTCCCTTGGCGCTCACTTGGGCGGGCAGCCGAATTCCTGTGGGCTATCCGGTTACCGGTTGCCGTGGAAACCAGTGGGAAGGCAGCTCCATTAATCATTTAGAGCGCGCTCGAAGTGGAGGTCAGCCTGATTGCAGCGGATAGGGTATCATCCCTGTGTCCCACCAGGGACCTCCTTGATTTGAATTAAAAAAGATTAAGCTCGCCCCCCCATGCACCCCTACCACCGTGGCCCACCATCATCATCGGCCCAGCCGTATCATGTGACCATGCTCCACGAAGCCACGCGGATTAAGAGATCGGAGCTGTGCGTTTGTTTTTCAGAGACTCGCTGTAACATTAGACGCGCACAGGTGTCTACAACAAGGAGTCCAGGAGCTTGTGTAAGAAACGGACAAAGACTGCGGCGCGCACCCCTCCTGGGCTTTCTTGTCTTATCCTCCTATATTGTCTTTCTTCTTCTTATATTCTATCAGTTACTTGTTGGAAACTGGAAGCAATAACTCAGTTTTACTCTCCCACTGACATTTCCCTCTCTTTCAAGCCTATGAAATGGTGCATTTGTTGCAAAACCTTTTTATAACTTAATAGGAATATGATTTTTACGAGCGTGTAGGACAGCTGCCGCCCCGGCCAGGGAGAACCGAGGCCAGACGTGTGCGTGGGCGAAGTCGGTGTGACGGCTCGAGGGTCACAGTCCACCAAAGCCTGAAGTCTGTCTGGTTGGGGTTGGATCACCTCGATGAAATGTAAAGAGCAGGGAAATGACCGAAAGCGTTAGTCCATGTGAAGTGGCCCTTGGGCCTCTGCTCGTCAGCCCCCTGTTCCCCAATGACGGCAGCATGAGTTTAGATTTACAGGGCCTCTGTGGGAATGCCACGGAGAGCCATGAATCATCCAGGCTATGAAATAGTGGCACAGCCAGCTCTGCTGCAGTGGCTCCCAAAGGTGCCCGCCAAATTTACAGGCGCCTGTAGCACTTCAAAAACTTACCATAACTTAAATCCAGACGATTTTATCGTTCCATAGAAGCAAAAAGGGAGATACGAGGAAGGTGAGGGGTGAGGAGGGAGGGTTGGGGAAAAATTACAACCTCCTTCATGTTAGTCAATTAAAATTCCAATGACGGCCACTTTCAGGAGTTTGGGATTCTGCGTTCTGTAATGGAGCTTAAACTAATACTCATACGTAATGAGTAAAAGCTGTGTTGCCTTGATAAGCTGAGGGATTTATCCTTGTATCCCAGTCATATGGGCCCAGCCCAGGACAGCGATGTCAGTAAAATAAGAGCTCCAATGAGATTATCATCGGCTCTCCTTGTTAAAATTAATGATCTCGACACCTTGCTCGTCCAAGTTACAAGGAGTTTGGCTGGTACACCGCCTTGTTAATGTCCACTTTAATAAGTGTTTCGGTAGCACCAGCCTCACAGGGCTTGAACAGATGCTGGCCAGCAGGTCAAGCTGCTATAAAGAGACAGAGGCATTGTGAAATAAGGTCTGTGAGTTAAGACCTGTGTGAGAATATTTCAATTTTCTGATTTATGCATTTATTTAAGTCAACATTAGTAAGATTGCAGTCACGATGTAACAGAACCTTTACAGTAAAAGGGGACTGTATGAAACCATTTAGACGTACCGCCTTTGGCCAAAATATATTATCAACAATAGGTGGTAAATTTTGGAATAGATTGCCCTTTCGAAACGAGTGTGTCCTACATTCGACACCTTCAAAACTCACTTAAAAAAGTGGTTCTTAGAGAACCAGAGATGTACTCATTTTACTCATCACACATTTATCAGCCATACACTTTCATTTTTAATGTAGTATAGACTCTATAGAGGTTATATTTTTGAGAAATGTCCTTCAGTTGAGAAAAGTGAACTAATATTTACTGATGCGTGCTACACGTGGAGTCATCACACCTGTCTGAGCCAGGCATGTTTGATACCTTGTTAAGCTGTTCTTTGTTGTGGATGAAACAGGTAGTGTCAAAGTGTTAGATGACATTGGATGAGCAGCAGATGGCCTGTTATCTCTGTCAACTAGAACTCTGTTGCTCTGATCACTTTACAAATACTTCAGTTCACCCACTGAGTTGGTCACTCAAACTGAACATGAGCTGATAAGATAACATTTACCGCCAGACAAAGCTGTAGGTTGACCCTTGTGTTGAATGAACTAGATCAGCAATGGTAAAACGAGAGAGGGGGACCAAACAGAGATTGAGAGTGTAGCTGCAGTGGAAAAATGTTTTCATCATTCGAACATCGAGATGAGCTGAATACTGTGAGCCTTAATTCATATTCTATTTTACTTTTGTTGAGTAGTATGGATTACAGTTTATCTCAACAGTCCTCTTTAGACATTCTACTAACACTCTTAGAAGAAAAGTTTCTATATAGAACTTTAAAAGGTTCTATCAGCGCTACTTATTTGGAACCCCTAAAAGGTTCTATACACTCTTAATAAAAGGGTTCCTCTGGGTTCTATTTATATCCAAACTTGGCCAATAGAACCTTTTACCAAAATAATGGTTCTATATAGGTTTCATAAATTTCACCTTTATTGTAAGCCACTTTCTCCTCTGTCATTTGAACGAGCGGTTTACATCCTGATTCTATGAAACCACTCCCTCAGAAACAGGCAATGGGCTCAGATTGGTTAGTTTGGGCCGGTGTGTTGTGATTGGCTAAACTGTAGTGCACGGATACTTCACGCCCATTAAATTTATGGGCGAAAGTTGCATATGTGTTCCTGTCAAATGTACATAATGGTGTCGATACTGCAGATCAGCATGAGCCAGAATCAGACCCAGAAAGTGGCGATGAAGAGAGGCAAGCAGAACCTCACCAAACATAGCTCTTACAAACATTTCTGAATGTTAATTTGCCTAACAGTTATTTGTTTTTGAACTTTATACACGTTTATTTTACCAACACATTCTCATCCATTAGCGTCAGATAGAACGCTATATGACAAAACGGCGATATACTACGCACATGGCACCTGTTATCGTTAATATAACGCGCTGTGATGGGTAGGTTTAGGTGTGGGGTAGGGTAGGGTAGTCTCATATTACGCTAAAGGATTTATGACACCTTGGGTTCACGTGTTATATTAACGATAACGGGTGCCATGTGCATAGTATAGCGCCGTTTTGTCATATAGCGTTCTATGTGACTAAAGGATGCGAACGGACTGGTTTTACACAATAGCATCGAACTGACTGGCTATATACACAAACAGCGTTGGCACTGGTTTACGTTCTTGATCAAATCGAAAAAATAACATCATGAAGTATATATACATGAAAAATACATTTACAAAATTAGTACATAAACAAATTCAGGTCCAAAATGTTTTTACGCGTTTGTCATGGACACGAAATAGCACAACTAAGTGGCTATAAAGCCAGCACTGGCATTTGATAACTAAAACATTATACATGCAAATACATTTAAAATT